CATGGGTTTGAACACTCCCCTCTTGCGCAGCAGCTGTCAAATGAAGGCAAATCACAAGCCCCTTGCTCTCCAGACCAAATACATACAGAGAAACTCCACACATTGAAAATTGTGCCCTTTCTGCTCCCTTGTATGGGAGTCACTAGCTAGCAGTGACAAGGGACTTCAGAGCACATTGAAACAAGAATCATCAATAATATCACTAAAATATCACATTCTCCTACTTTCAAAATACATGCTTTACTGTTTGGGACTACACAGACACTAAGCGTGGGCTCAAGACAAAACTCAGGGTCCCCAACACTGCTTTTTACTTGTATTAGTAACTCCATTAGCATCAATTATTTGCACGTACAGGAAACCCTCACTGTTCGCACGTTCAGCATTTGCAGTTTCAAATATTCACGAATGCTGAACTTGCATTTTAAATACACTTTATACACTTACAGGAGCTCCTCTGGAGCTTTGTACTTGCTGCCGCCAGGCTCCTGCCATCGCCAGCAGAGCTGTCTTATTCGCGGATTTCGTCGTTCGCAGGGGGTACAAGAATGTATCCCCCGCAAATGGCGAGGGTCGCTTGTATTTTGTAGGCGCACAAGCAGAAGTGTGTAGTAGCAGCTGTAGGAACATGTGCCTGGGTGCACTCCTGTACATGTAAGATTGGGCATTGAGTGCTAAATTTTCCTCCTATATCAGTTTTACACCAGCATAACTCCATTAGCATCAATCATTAGCATCTCTTAGGTGGGAGGGATGTTACCCCTGATGTGGAACAGTGGAACTGCTCTACTGGATTTGACCTGTAGTATCCTGTCTGACAGCAGTCAGTAGCACAGGCTTCAGAGAAAGGGACAAGTTAGCAGGTGTGGGGTGATCTGCTCCGACATTCTGTTTTCACCCACACTCTAGCCATTGGTAACAGGTCTGGGCCCTGAAGTGTAAAATTTATGTCACATTAACTCCAATAACTCTGGGTGTTCTTGTTATCCATATAAACACCCAGTTTCTTTTTGGATCTCATCAAGGTTTTAGGCCAAGTGTGACCCTGTGGCAATGAGACGCAGTTTATATATTATGTTATATAAAAAAAATTTCCTTCTATTGTTTTTTAATTTGCCACAGTCGACGTATCGCCTTGTATCTGTGTAAGAAAAAAGTTCCAGGTATACCATCTCCATATCACTTGGATTTCTACCAGGTCCCTTCCTATTAAAGATAGAAACTTATTACTTTGGTTGCCATATACAAAGTTAGTTAACATTTAGAGGAGCATCTATTCTAAAAGGCATAATATGCATTTCTCACCTTTAGATTTTATAGCAGGTATAACTCTCCTTTTGCTTTCAGTCCTGTAAAATGAAGCAACATTTAAATAGCCAGAAGAGATGGTACAGAATTAAATGTTTAGAAGCCAATGCTCCTTTTTCATTAAGGACAACAAAGTACATCAGTCCTAGAACTGCACCCTTATTTTTGATAATATTTGTGTAGTTTTTCTTTACCAATTTTAGTTCTAACATGAGCTAAAGTACAGCAAGGATATTCAGGGCTAGTTCCTCAAATGGTGTAAATTCAAATAGCTTCTGTGAAATCAATGGTTACTGATGCCAGCTGGGGCTCTAGCCCTGAAAGTCCTTGCTGCACATAAAATTCTTCCACTAGTTAGAACATATGATGATAAAGAAAACCCCCAAACACTCTCCCACTAAACCTCCTTATTTCACTCCTTGCCAAAATACTCTCAAAACTTAACTATTGGGTTCCCATAGCATCACCCATGTCCCTATGTAAATGTGCAGCCTCTCAGCCGCCTTTGATCTACCTTGATGCATATGCAGTTGCAATTCTGTTCTGTTAAATGACAGCTCTTGTGTCTAGAGCATCACAGACCCTTTTGAATCTCTCAAACAAGCTGGAATCATTTTGATCTTTTGTGTGTAGCGTGTGTATTGTGTCGGTGCTGTGAAATAATCACACAGGGGGCAATGATGTAGGAGAATTAACTCTTATATTAACAATCCTGTGAGAAGCACTAAAAAAATAAAGCTTCAGCTGTTTCTTAACAAGGAAGATCAAATAGGAGATCTGTGATGCGGCTGTTCCAACTGGTAAAATATAAACAAATGTCAACTTGCCATTTGATTCCCTTGTGGCAGTTGAAATAGAACTTATTCTTAAAATCACTTGGGTCATGATATCATAAACTTGTAATATTTCATTTACAAATTAGAGATCCTTATATACATACATACACATACATACACACACACCAAACATATTAGAGCAGAGGTTTTACAAATATTCTAGTTACTGACTTGCATGGATCTGTCCATGAGAGAGAATCCAACTGTCAAAACGTGTCTAGAAAATACCTGAATACTCCAGTGAAGAAAATTCACTATTTTACACTTTCTATCAAGTATTTGCTAACAGCTAAATCATGAACAACAGAAAAAATAACTTTAACAAAGAAAGTGTGCTTTTTCATTACCCAAGGGACTACAACATTTTATATTTTAAGTAACAGAAATATATTGTATAATAGCTCATTTATCAATTTCAGCTGCATTCTAGCAAAATCCCTAGAAGTCTGTTGATATTTAACATTTTAAAAAATATTTAGCTATCAGACTATTTTTATACCTTGTTTAATGCAAATTATATTTTTTTCAATATTGGAGCATTAATACCATCTTTTATAACCATTCCAACTGAATCCAACACTGAAACATTCATTCATGAATTTAAAGCTATTTTACTATATCAGATTACACCACATTCAGATGTAAAGATGAGGCTGGTTACAAATTCAGCTTTGTTTTTCCAAGTCTCCAGTTCAACAGGGCCCTTATGTATGGGGGAGATGCCCATCCTTATTTAGCAATGCTTAACTTTATGCACATGTTGAAGTCCTTTTATTTTAATGCATCTTCAGCACATTTTAAGTGTTCTGCTGAATAGTGTCTATGGGCTCTGTCCTGCAAGATGCTAGAAGTAGAAACCCTTAAGTACCACTTTCTGACAAAGCTGAGGTTGGTTAGGAATTCACCTCTGCTTTCCAAGTCTCCAGTTCGACAATGCACTCATGTATTGGGCCGGGGTGCAGGGAATGCCCATCCCCATTCAGCAATGCTTACGTTATGTGCATGTTGAAGCCCTTTTACTTTAATGTGTCTTCAGCATACGTTTAAGTGTTCTGTTTAGTACTATCTATGGTCTGTCCTGCAAAATGCTAGATACCCTTAATTCCTGCTTAATTTCACAGGATTTCATAGTCTGCAGCATATCTCAGCAGGTGCACAACTCCGTACAGATCCAGGCCATAAATATATATTTCAGATGATGCAACTCTGACTGCACCATCAGGTTTTTTTTTCTTGATGTAGTGTTGGTAGGTAGCCACTTGTTGTTGAGGTGCATGTTGAGAAGTGACTTCACGGACAAATTGTGAAGGAACCATTTATCTTCAAGTAATTTAGTAAAGCAAAATCAGCAGCTGATTCGCCTGTTTACTCTCAGTCTGCTTCTTCAACTTGCCCTATGAGTAAGTGAGGAAGTGTTTTGTTTATTGGTTTGATTTTTTAATTCAGCCTGGGGTTCAGTTCCTTCTGAAAAATTTGTGTCTAGCTTTTTCATTTGTTTCAGTCCTACATAAATTAAGGCAGAGTTGATCCGCTGGGCCAAGATCCTTGTCTTTAACTAAGGAATGCAGTGTGCATCTCAAGACCGTGGGATGTTCCTCCTCAATCCTGGGCCAGCAGTCCTCTTGCTGGTTAATCTGGTCTTCTTTCATAACCAAAAGGACCTCAAATGCAGAACATACTGGCTTCCAAAAGTCTCAAGTCCCAGATACGGCAGCCAGGGATCATCAGAGCTATATGGAGGCCCTGGACGCAGAGTCTTTCTGCCAACCATGACTGCCTTGGCTAGCAGAAGGGTAGTTCTTACTCTACTTCAAAGTTGGCTCTATGCCAAAGGTGGCCAACATCCTGTGCAGCCTGTGGAGCTATGGCATCTGGCCCACAGGGCACCCCATGGGTCAGGAAATCTGGTGGTGGGGGAACAATGGCAATACTGCCACCCTTCCCTGTTTCCAAATCCCCCCCACAACCTCTCTGGGGCTGGGTTGGAGCCAGGCCACATCTCCCCTTGCCCCTCTCCTCCCTGCCATGGGTCTGGGTAGGGCCCAGGCCACACACCTTCCTTTCTGCCATGCAGCTAGATGGGGCCCCACCACACGCACCTTGGGCCCTGGATCAGGACCACTGGCCAAATGCATCCCACAGACAGACCAGGCACTGTCCATCCAGCCGACTGCGCAAAATGTTTAGGCACTGCTGGACTAGATGACGCAGATCATTGGACACTACTACTGGAAAGGGCTTCAGAAAAAGGCTTAGTAGAATTCAGTAAGACTCTGAAGAATTCTAATATTCTAATAAGCCATAGTCTGTCTGTCTGTCTGTCCATAACACTTTATTTGCACTCTGATTGGCTGGCAGAAACAACCAATTAGAGTGTGAATACAGTGTATGGCCAGGAGGTGGTGGCACAGCAGAGCGCTGCCATGGTGGGGACACAGGGGATGGAGTGAGGGGGAAGAGGGCGGGGGGGGAGCAAGGCCAACACAGCTGGCCTCTCCTCCCCTGCCCTGCTCCCTGGAGGTGGTGGCAACGGAGCAGATGGAATGGGGTGGAGGCTAGTGGAGCTTGCTCCCCCACTCTTGCTCCTTGGAGGTGGTGGCAGTGGCACAGGGGGGAGTGGGGTCAGGACCCTGTGAGGGGAGGAGAGCCCCCCCCGCACCGATCCCTCCTGACATGGTGTGGGGGGGGAAGCAGTGGGCCTGAGCCGACACAGCGCCAGCAGTGGGGAGGGGATGAGCAGGCCCGCTGTGGTGGTGGTTGGTGGGGAGCAGCAGACCCGGACTGATGTAGGAGGTGTGGGGGGATGGGAGGAGTGGGCCCGGTTCCAAAACAGCGGCAGGGCGGATGGGGAGCCCAGCCCTGAAACAGCAACAGGGAAGGTGGGGGTGGCAGTCCTGGTGCTGGTCCCACAATGCCGGTGGGGAGCGTGGAGGGGGGCATGCCAGGCCCAGCCCAGCTCAGCCAAGAAACAGCAGTGGGGAGGTTGGAGGGGGCAGGCCTGGCCCCAAAACAATGACAGGGAGGTCAGGGGGGGCAGGCCTGGCCCTGAAACAGCAGCGGGGAGGGTGGGGAGGGCAGGCTTAGCCCTGCAGCACAATGGGGGAAAGGGGAAGCGGGCCGGGCCCCAAAGGGGAGGGAGAACTGGATGCAGGCCCCTGGTCCCATCTGCACCCCCTGCCTGTCATTCTTGATGGGCAATTGGCCAATGTTGTATGAAAACATGAATGTATGAAGAAAGACCTGCACATCATTAAAAGATGGAAATGACAGATGAGGAGAAAAAAAAAAAAAAAGAGAGAGAGAGATCACTGGTATTACCTCTGAATTCAACTCCGAAAATGCTATAAGATGTCTAATTCATTTTCATGCAAGCTATTTTCTAAATGACACCTGAAGTTAAAATGTTAGTCATTGCCAATAAAAGACAGAAAACTCTGTGAATTCCAGAAAGTTTAAGCTCAGAATAATAGTACAACAATGACAATCATCTTATGGCAGAGTGAGCATATCAAAACCATACAAAGCCTCTAGAGAAGAATTTTAAGAATTTGCTTCAAGCAATCTTCTTAATAAAATTCTCTACAGTCCTGTACAAGTGTCTACTTCCTCCATAAATGTATAAAATATATTTTAAAATCCTGGTTCTATTTTTTTTTTTTTTTAAGTACAGGTTAACTTCAAAACATCATTTCATTTTTTATTTTTTTCAGCTCAAGTCTCCCATTTTGGAAGGTTTGCTTTTATAAAATGAGACCCATCTAGAAGGTTCTCATACAAAGTAAGTGAAAAGCCTCCCAGAAACTAATTCCCTTTTTTTTTTTTCCAGAAAGGATATCTATAGAGCTAGTCTTGATTCTGTTTGGTAAATACTGAGGGAATTAATCAAAATAAAGAGTTTCAATGACAATGAAAACTGGAAAACTTGCTTCTCTCCTGGATATCACTTTGGTAAAGAACTTGTTGAACCTCCATACTCTGTGTCAAGTGCAAACAAACAAAAAAAAGATGTTCTATCAGAAAAATAAATGAAAAGGACCTAGATCCAGAAACACTGATACTCCACAAAAATATGCCTAGAAGCATATTGGTTAATCTTGTAAAAAGAGCTTGAAGCCTGTGCACATCTATCTTGAAGAAGCATTGTTGAGACACAATACCATGTGGTAAACAAACAGGATTGTTTCTTTTTCACAAGGCCTTTCTTCGTAACCCTCAGACTGAGAGACAGCAGGTAAGGAATTTGTTCCCAACAATGAGCTGAGAAGGAGAAGTTGTGGTCCTTCTCTAAAAGTAATCATTTTTCACAAATGTCAAAAAGCTTACTGATAAAAATGTATGCCTGACTACTTAATGCCAACCTTTCTACTGTGACAAAATCTCTTCTGTTCATCTCTCTATCCATCTGCATGATCATTTATTTCTCTGCAAATAATAATAAAAACCTGCTCACACTCAGGCTATTCTTTTTCTATGAACAAAGAGCAAGTTCAAGGTAAGTATAAGTGAATGAAAATATTTTTTCTGTATTTTTTTAACCAGCGAGCAACACTTGATCTACTGTTTTTGAAGGAAAATCAGACAAATGCACTGAAAGAAAAATAGATGGGAATACAATTCTTGGTATATGATAAGAGATTTGCTCCTATTAACTATGTCCAATTGAAATTTAGAACAGAAGACTACACAAAAACAAAGGATTCCAAGAACATGTTATACCAGGATTTAAGACAAGAAGGGTACACTCATTTAAGACCAGACTCTGTCTCCAGTTACCAGGCTGGCAGCAGACAGTTACATTAAGAAGAGAGAGCATTTGCTCTCACATTCTAAGCCTGTAGCAACTGATGTATAAAGGATAAAATTCATCTAGGTGACAAGGGTCCATAAAAGTTCTACCATGCCACCTAAACCCCATGAAGAAACTAGGCAGAGGGAACATGTGATGTGGTTTCAGAGAAGGTCTTCATGTTCCCCCTCTGTACTGCAAAGAGAATCTCAGAGGCAGACCTGAAGAGACTGATATAGGAGCCGTGAGCTACCACATTTATGTAAGTTTGTATCTTGGGGTCTCAAAACCTCTAAGCAAGGGACAAGAAGGGCAGTGACTAGACAGGGACAATGGATGCTAGAGGGCTGTGAGTTTTGGGTATGTGGGATTTTCATTCTTCCTGGCTCTGCTTAGTTCCAATTTTAGTATATGTGCTGTCGAAGCAAGCCATTTATTCTATTTTTATGCCAGGAGCGATGAATTTCACCAAATGCATCTTGCACTGTTGACAAACAACAAAGCATAACATCTAGCATGAGAAAACGTTTCAGTAACTTTACAGAACTAGTATATACGGTATCTTTATAGAAGTTTTATGAATTATCTAACAATGGTCCTGACTGGTTGGTATAAGTGATAACAACAAACTGTTAAGATTAAGAAAATATGTCTTATAATAAATTTTGCAATTGTCCTGTTTAGTCTACAATGTTAAGAAATAGCCCTGAAATCTATTTTTAATGAGTACCTTTACAAAGTGCTTTGAAGATTAAAACTACACATTTATGATGGAACAAAACAAGAAAAGAATTCATTTAGGCAATAATTTACTTAAGTTTGCCTCTCTTCATAGATTACTAGAAGTGTAAAAAATCATTAAAAATAAACTCAAATAGTTTCACTTTCGCTGCTTTGAATCATTATTCAAGTTACTGAAAATCTTTCTAGAAAATGAATATACTGAATAGTCAAACTTCTGGTATTAAAACTTTGGGGAACTTTTTTTCCCTTACAAATGAATGATAAATTTACAAGAAATAAGCAAGACTGAAATTAAGTACGATAAAAACATAAAATATTAATAGGAAGTGGCAAGACTAAATTTTGAGAGCTGTTTTAGTTCAGTAAAGTTTGAGTGCCCCCTGATGGTCAATTTGATTACCTGCAACACAGTGTACTGTGGCATTTAAAGGTGTTACAGACAGATCACTATTAAATATTTCCCTTGAAAATAACTGAGATGAACTATAATAGGCAATTTTCTTTTCTTAAAATAAACAAAGAAATAATAAGAGAATTTTGCTTGAGAACCAGGACACAAGGAACATAATGGATTTATTCCAGAATACAATTTCCTCAAAATTGAAAATACTTTATTCAGTTTTTATATGTTGACAAACTAATGGTCTTATTTGAGTCTCTCTATTTATAATGCATCTTTAGTCTTCAGTGTATGAGACAAATGAGACAAAGCAAACAAGCCTAAAAAAAATAAACTGCTTGCATCAAAATACAGAATTATCTAGAATGCTACTGACCTCCACTGGCTGATTCTGTTGCTACAGGACTACAAAATGCCACACACATCGTATTCTGCACGCTCTTTCAGAGAGATTCAGTCCTGACTTATGATACCTTTCCCCCAAGTAATTATATTACTTCAAACACATTCTTTTCTTTTGCACAACATTGTACTCTTCAAGCTAAAGTTGCAATCACAGATAGTTTAAGCATATTCTTGGTGGACTAAATGAATCCAGAAAAAGTAGTTTTATACCTAAGGTAAAACAGGACAATATTTGTTGGAGAAGAGGAAGCTCTGGCATGCACCTCTGAACAAAAGGGAACAAGTGGTCTTTACTCAGAGAGCAGCTTCCTATTAAGACTCACTCCTTCGTACATTATGCCTTTCATCCCCACTCAACCACAAAATGATTTTGCTGTAGGAAATACAATAGTAGAAAAAGATTTACATTGAAAGAATCTGTAATAATAAACTGTTGCAGATCTGCCTACTTCCCCATGATTTATAATACAATAAACATCGGATTCTATTAAGTCTCATGCACTGAAGACACTGCACTGAAAAACTGAATATGAAAGAACTCAATTCTTCCCATCTCCAGTACCATAATAGTGAAATGAGCATGTATAAATGTGCTAAGAGTATCTCTTTGCATCTTTTATAGCTTGTGTGTATTAATCTGTAAAGCTTATTAAGAAAGTCATTGCTATGCAAAGCAGCACCCAATCTCTTTCTCTTGCTTTTCAACAGAGTGCAGTGTTTAGCCAATAGGACTGGTCCTCTGCCCCTCATTCTGCATTCATAACATGCAACATTTGCACAATGTATCTCTCAAAGGCTGCTGAATAGAAAGCCTTAATACTCATGTAAACAACTGCAAACCAATTACTTAATGAATCAGGCCCACACATAATGAGGTGCCAGACAAAGAGCTATAAATGCATTTTTGCGCCCAAGCCTCTGCTTTAAAGTAAAATCCCTCAGCTGTAGTTTGGGCTTAACTGGCACATCATAATTATTGTCTCTAGGACATCAGAGGAAGCCATTTTTTTTTTTTATTTAGGTCCAGCAGGGTCTTTTTCGAGGTCACTCATCAGCTCAGTGACAAAATAGAGCAAAGAAGAATTTTTAAAAAGTACCACAGCAGTACTACACCGTTATGTTTATTCTCAAGTACTGGGTTTCGAGACCACTTGTAAAAGCAATAAAGCACAAGAAGTGACTGCAATAAGTGGAATCCTTAAATGTAAGCCTCTAAGAAATTTCGCTGCATCCCGACCACAAATAAGCAACCACCTGAGCTCTCTATTTCCCATTCTTTCATGCTACTTTTGCTACTTCGTGTTTCCAAATATCTTTGTAAGACTGATGTCAAGTGTCCAGCGGCAAGTGTTACTAATAGACTCTCTGTTTAAAAGGGCATATTATTTCTAATGTATTTAGGAAACTGACTTTATGGTGTTGCTTAAAAAAAAAATAAGCCTTTAAAAATGGCTTAATCTACCATAGTATGAAGCGTGCTTGCTTCTGAGAGCCCAAAGGCATGAAATTATTAGGTACAACAAATGGTTTCCAAAATTTACCGGGTGTGCATGTGAATTGAAAAAGGTAAAATTAAAACTAAGCCATTTGTAACATTTGACTAGCATTTAGAGTAGTGCTGAAAGCTGCCAACACACATTTTAAGCAAGCACTATAACATGCTAAACAGTAAAACAAACACACAAAATATTTTGGCATAGTCCATTATAATATATTCAAATACTTTTATCAGATTTTAGAATTAAGCTACTAAGTTCAACATTAAGGGCCTGATCCTTCCCACACTGAAGTCAATGAGAGCAAAATCTGGCAAAACATATATATTTGTAAGAATGCCTCTGCATTTCATCATATTAGAACTTATTTTCTTATGGAATCCTTCTCTCAGGAATAAATTAAGTTACAAAAAATGGAAACTGAAGTAATAAAAAAATCTATAGTTTTATTTTTAGATAAAAATATAATTTAACGTTATAAATGTGTGATTTATTACCTAATTCGCATTAAATTTATTAGACAAGAGTTAGAGAAAATACTGTGGCTTTTAAAATAAAATATAAATCAGTGCAAAATATAACATTAACATTTCTGGCACAATTGGTTTAATTTCCAACAACACAATTAACACTTTACCAATAAACGTCATCAGGAATGTTAAAAAGTAAAAGAGAGGAAAAAAAGAACAAGCATGCTATAAATGTAGATAGGGTCAAATAATTATCTAAGTACTTAGAAGTATTTTATCAATGTCATAAATGGCAGTGTTCAGCAAGGGAACCAGATAACAGCAGAACCCACTTACTATGATGTTTTAATAAGCATCCAGATAACAATCTAAACCCAAGCTAAAATTTCATAAGATGATTATACTACTGTATATTGTATTTTCTACTCCTCCTTGACCACTAATTTTATTGCCACTGTTTGATTAGTATTGCATGCTGATTACAAATACAAGTAACATCTAACACAACCCTGTTCTAAAGGCTAGAAAAAAGTGCTGCAGTTTAACAAATGTAAAAAGATAAATTGCACCCTTTAGGAAAATGCAAGGCCATTAATTAAATGTACTCAGTTTGAAAGTAAAACAAGACAAAAGTAGCAAATACTTTAGTGGCAAATACTTTAAAGAAAAATACAAAAATACGTATTGAGCTACAACTAGTTTACATTTCAGATACATCAACATGAAGAAACACACCACTTTATTTCTTCAAGACTTTATGTTTTATGCCTGTCCTTTTCCTGACAACTTCTATTGTCTGGTCTCTAAGTAGCCCTACTGAGAGCAGCTGTACACGCTAATTTGTGGTTCACTGAGATGTCAATTGAGTCTTAAAATGAGAAAACAACAGCTGCAAAACAATACCTGGCTTGGGTGCAAATATTTTCTAAGGTGTACTAAAGTTTAAGTTGTTATATTACATAAACACAAACAGGAACCTTAACCCTTGTTTAAGTCATATAAAATAACATATTCAAAGAGTTTTATTCACTTGGTGGCATTCTTCTATTAAGGCCAAAAAGAAACGCTTTAATGACTTTACCTTGATAAAGGACTTCTTCCATCACTAGATGAAAAACTAGCTTCTGAACTGATTTTGTTGCTTCTCTCTGTCTTCTCTCTGTTTCCAGTATTCAAACCTACAAGCATACATGCCAAATGTAAACAGAGCAAACATCTAACACGCAGCCATGCAGTAAGTTCTCACTTACAAAAATCAACATTGCTTAAGTAAAGAAGGAAGAAAACAAGAAAGATGTTTTTTATTCTGAAACCTGAATAAAAATTCTGAAGTACAATGTAAAAAATCAGGGTTTACAATGAGATTTTGTTGTTTCCTGACAACATAAATCACAAGAAAGGAATATCAAGATACAATTTTTGAGGGAATATTTTTAAATGTACAAAAATGGACACCAACTTGGGAAACAGATGCTCTCCCACAACAATTTTTTTTTTTTTTTTTAAATGAACTAGCAAATTTACTCCCCCTTTCCTTGGCAGGGTTATTCTCACAGGCTACAAATGCTGTTAATCAGGACTCTGATGATAATGTACTTTATTTGTGAAACAAATTAAAAAAAAAACAACAACTCTAATCTAAAAACTACCACCTATAATGATAAGAAATTATCTTTAAAACCTGCATGTGCCAATCCAGCTTGAGCCAAAAGGGGTTCTAAATCAGTCCTAACAAGTGTCAACATGGAGAAAAAGTACTTGACTTGTATACTTCAGTTCTCTTCCATCTGGTTGAGTTTTAGATCTATTTATTTATTTATTTAAAATACTTGTGGCCTGGTAGGAGCAAGAACACAGTAAAATACCCAAATCTCCTTAAGGCAAACAAAATGAACCTGCAGAACAATGGCACAGGAGTAGAACATTTAATGTTTACTTTTCTTTGTATATCTTTTCTTTATTTTACAAACCTGGGAGTTTGGAGATTCTGTTCAACTGTTCAATTTAAGCAAAATCTTAGTCTTATATCTATTTCTTCAATTGTTTCCTTGTGCCTTTTCTGAAATTCTTGCTCATGTTGTTTACTGGGTAGTGATATTGTCTACTAGATATTTTTTAACTGTCTCGTTTTTCAGAAAGCTACAATTCTTGGCTGTTTTACGTTAGTCCTGCTTAACATTGTTGCCTTTCAAATACAGCCAAATTTCAGGCTCTAAAACCATTTCATGAATGATAAATATCTAAAAATCTATTCATTTACTTTTTTATCATCTGTTTGCTTTCTTCTGTATGCATCTTACTTTACCTCTGAGCTGTAACATGCATACATTGTATACTTATTAATTTCCAACATAATACATTTTCTGGATTACTTCCAAATTGGATAGCATGATTCTCAACTATGTGAGAATTCGACCTTAAAACCAGGTGTGTATGAGATTCAACTGAAAATATTTTAAAAAATTAAACTCTTACCAACTTCATATTTTCCTTAAAATAATAACATATCATTTCTAAACCACAGACAGCTTTCCACCCTATAACCTGCATATATTTTACAATGAGACAGTTTCTGTAACCTGAATTATACACACTAATCTGTAGATTTCATACACACAAACTGTGATCAGAACATGTCAGACATTTCCAAAGAAGAGGCCAAAAGAAAAAAAAAATCTCACAGGAAAGATGAGAGGAGCTAAAAGTATAGGAGTTCTAGTGGCAGCAGTATGCCACTTAATAGAGAAAAGTCTGACCATTTTCAAAAGAGATGGTGACACAAAAAGAAACTTTGCTGTGAGGGAAACTGCAAGGGACACATGCAGAGAGGCACATGTACCCGTGGGAGATCAAAGGAGGAGCTCCTGGATACAAGAGCAAAAGCAGCTCTGAGCTGCAGACAGCAGCACCCGCACACATCAATAAGCCAGGGACTTTTATTTATTTTAAAAATATATATATGTGAGTTTAGCATTTTATTTGTATATTTCTTTCAGCAGCAAAATACTTCAATAATTCTAGCCCAACTTGGATGCTTTTAAGTCTTATTGGAATTGCTTTTCTACAGGACATATGAAAAAAACAGACTGAAGATTCAGCTTTGTCTCAATTTAAGATGCAAACTTTTTAAGGGTTTTTAAGATCAAGCTTTCAAAGAATTCTGCACATGCACCTAACAGCTCAAACACATTTCTTCTGTGGGCACAGGCTGGTATGCCTTTTCAACAGGTGTCCAGTAGAGAGGTATGTTTCCAAGCTGTGTCAAACTAAACAAAATGCTGCTAGATAGTAGATAATGCCAATATTCAAAAAAGCGACTGGGTGTGCTGCTGGTTAGCTGAATCTGAGCACTGATTTTCAGATTTATGTGAGCCCATATAGTTAGGAAGGGCTAAAAAATACGATAGAAATATGCACAGCCAGGGAAGGTAGGTTTTGGGAAAAGAGATTTCTGTCTCAAACTGACCATGCCCTCGTGTAAGGTAACTGCAGTTCTGAACATCATTTTTCCAGCAAATTATAATAAAACGAGATCCTGGCATCTCATCTCCTAAGGTTAATGATGAGGGAAATGAATGCCTGCTTTAACTATGTACTGGACAGGCACTGGGTGAATACTACAGAGTAGAACATGAAGGAGATAGAAGGTAATTGGGCCTGAATTCTTATGATCCCCCAAGAGGACCACTTATTATTGTATTGATTAGCATCCTCCTATTACCAACACAAGACAGAATAAACATATTTATTTTCTGGCCATTCTTATAAGATTTAAGTGCTGGAAGACTGCAGTTCTATACCTACATTATTCTTTACTTCAGACAAACCATGCTTATGGGGGCCTTGTGCTTAATGCCATGCATGCCTGCCTAAACTAGTTTGGATTAGAACCTAGAACCCTCCCCCCCCGCCAAGATGACTACAAGGTTGGTTCAAAATAACTTTCTAAATACTTCTGAGTGTGTGCGAGTTTGAGGACAGGCACATACGCATGAGTGAGTGATAGTTAAGGTGTCCTTTGCTCGTTCTCCTCCTCCTCCCTCTCCTCTATCCACAACTGAAAGACAAGTCTAGCCCTTGATTGCCTCCGGTCTCTATTGCTGAATCCTCCTTTGCTCCAGTATCAACACATTCATTCTCAGCACCCTCAAAAAAGACTATTCACCCACTCCGTGCCTCCCATCACTTCCCCTACCACATCAAACATAAACATAGGCTACTTGTCCTTCACCTTTAAGGTCCTTCATAACTTAGCTTTGCCCTACCTTTCAATTCTAATACAATACTGTGCCATCAATCCCCACTTCTGCCCTAGCAATACCAGCCTTCATCACCAATTAGCCCAATCATATTCCTCAAGTATCTTTGCACTTCCTTCCACACTGCCCCTTATAAATGGGAGATCCCTTTAAGAAACCATAAATCCACTGACTTATCTTCCTTCAAAGCCCCCCCCTTAAAAACTCATCTCTTCTGTGATGCCTACAAAACACTTGACAGTGGCTAAACAGTTGGTATGCTGTGACTGCTATGATTATACTAAACATGATCATTTTGTTCTTACCTTGTCTTCCCCTACTTGTTTGTTAAATTCACCTGCCTCTCTTAATATGCCACTACTGTAGGCTACAGGGGAAAACAAAATATTTATGTTTTTATTGTAAGCATACAGGTCCTCATACAAAGGAGTCTTCATCCCTAGCTTACTGATTTTATCAAAATGTAAATAAATATTATGTTTATACACTGTTTCATCGCTGACAAAATATGAGCCAGCGGTGCAACACAGGGGACAAAAAATGAGAAATTTAGGAAATGTGTGATCTCTTTGGAAAGCAAATTTCTAAGAACAGCCTGAAAAGGACCCATTTTTTGTATTCCTTATACAACTATGTTCTATCTCAACACTGTCCCTTGGAAAATATTCAAAGCTTGGCAACCACAATTCCTCAGTAAAACAGGTCATCATATCTAAGGCTACATCAGAGCTATTGCTAAGAACATAAAGGCTGTTATATTTTCTAGCACAGTCACTGCCATAACAGGTATCTAATTTAAGCTGTAAAACAGCTTGGGAACTGTAAAGCAAGCTTTGGGAAAGTATAAAACACACTGATGAAAGCCAAATTCTGTACTGTTCGCTAATGCTAAAACTTCCATTCTAGTATACTACTGGTTTCACGCTCTAAAATCCCTCAATGAAATTATAACCTTATTATATGCAAAAGTTATTCTGGTACAATCCTGAGATAGAACAGCATCCAAATGCCAAGAACGGCAAAATCTAGAAACGAAAATCCAACAGCCCCTTTCTTTCTGCACATACTCATGACAATGCTGTCCTTATTCAGGTAATTGGGGTGCTCTCTCTCAAACAGCATCATATTTTTTCAGCCTTCAATGTATGTTCCCAAGATAACAAGCAATTACTGACTGGGGTATTATTAAGCACATACACAAAAGGGGGCAGAGTTAAGGCTGTATATTCATTTTACTCCTCCTGCCTTTGCATTGCTTAACTGTGCTGCTTTAATGCTGTATTAGCTTAGGGCCCAAATCATCCCTTCATAAAAGAAAAAGCCTTGGAAGGAGAAAAATGGGGGGGGGGGAGTTGGAAAAAATCCCTGCAAAAACTTCTACATGGAATCCTTCAACAAGGGCAGGGCTGGGCAGGGCAGGGCAGGGCAGGAATGGAGGTCATCTCCAACAGAGCACCCAAGGATCACAGATGCCCAGGACTCCTGTACAGTACAGGTTCATGTATGGCAAGGTCTCTCTGCCTTGTCACTGGAACTAGGTTCCTTGCACCCCTTCCCTTTATTCATGACCGCACCAACAGATCTACATTTATCAGCACCTCCTCAACTGGTGGTTGCCCTGGCATCCTCTTTTAAAGTGGGAAAGGCTGTAAAGCTTAGAAACTTTTTTAGTAGCACACTCTTATCTTAGTGGGAGAACAGAAGGCAAGCCCTTCAAGCGTTACCCTACTGATTGCTTGCCCTCTCCCCATTGGCAGATCCTGTACTCACACTGCCCAGGAAGGGGAATGCTGTTATGAAAGTGGCTAACATAATCCTCTCCTTTCCTCCACATGGGGGAGTGGAAAACTGTGCAGTGGGAGATCTCCAGTGCACATCAGAAGGACACATTTAGAAAGGGAGTGGAAACAAGAAATACA